ATAAAGCTTTTTCTCCCTCAACTATTTCCAATATCATTCTCAAGTGCTCCTCATGTTCTTTCTTGCTCTTTGAGTATACCAATATATCATCAATGAATACAATGACAAAGAGATCCAGATATGGCTTAAAAATCCCGTTCATCAAACTCATGAAAGCAGTAGGGGCATTCGTAAGCCCAAAAGACATTACTAAGAACTCATAATGCCCATACCTGGTCCGAAAAGCAGTCTTGGGCACATCCGTTGCCCGTATTTTCAATTGAATGATAGCCAGATCTCAAATCGATTTTTGAGAAGGTACAAGCACCTAGTAACTGATTGAACAAATCATCGATGCGAGGAAGAGGATACTTGTTCTTAACAGTTACCTTATTCAGTTGTCTGTAGTCAATGCACATCCGAAAACTTCCATCTTTCTTCTTCACAAACAAAACAGGAGCATCCCAAGGGGATGCACTTGGTCTAATAAAGTCTTTGCTTAACAACTCTTGAAGTTGGGCCTTTAACTCTCTTAACTCAGCGGGAGCCATTCTATAAGGGGGTATGGAAATGGGGCGAGTACCCGGCTCCAGATCAATGCAAAAGTCGATATCCCTATCCGGTGGCATACCAGGAAGGTCTGCAGGAAACACATTCAGAAACTCACGGACTATTGAAACCGACTCAATTGAAGGTACTTGGGTAGTATCATCCCTGAGGTGTGCCAAGAAAGCTAAACAACCCTTTCTAACCATTCTCTTAGCACGAAGGAAGGAGATGATACGAACTGGAGTGGAAGTGTAGTCACCCTCCACACTAACGGATCTGTCCCAGGCTTGGCCAATGTCACAGTTTTAGCATTACAATCTAAAATTGCAAAATTTGGAGACAGCCAAGCATACCCAGAATTACATCAAAGTAAACCATTTCTAAGATAACCAAGTCTACATGAGTATTGCTCCCCATAAAAGTCACAAGACAAGACCTATACACCTTTTCGACTATCACAAACTCACCCAATGGAGTATAAACACGAATAGGCATGTCAAGCAATTCACAATGTAAATTAAGACCAGTAGCAAATGAGGAAGATACATATGAAAATGTGGATCCAGGATCAAATAATACAAAAGCCATGCAATCACAAACCAAAAGATTACCTGTGATGACAGCATCAGATCTTCCAGGGAAAGCATAACAATGGGCCCTATCAACGGTCTGTTCGTTGCCCCTACCATGTTGTGCTGCAGTCGTTCCGGCTTGCCCGCCACCCAGGTTGGTTTGGTGACCACCATTACCTTGACCACCACATCCTCCAGAATGGCTGCCTCTTCCATGACCACCTCTACCTCTGATTATTGGGGGTCTGTAACTCTGTTTTGGACAATATCTCTTAATATGTCCAATTTCCCCACATCCATAACACTCTCTGGGTTCAAGCATAGGTCTTTGTGAGAATGACGGAGTCTAGGGATAACCTCCAAACTCAGAGAAATGTTGACCGGTCTGCGGTGGACCCCCAGCTACAGCCTGCAGTGACGACTGAATAGGTCGGGCTGGGTAACCTCCTGAACTCTGCCCTCTAGCGTAAGAACCATTAAACTCACCTCCTTTACGAAACCTCTTAGATGTCGATGCCATGGTGAAGTCGTTTGGCTTCACTCCCTCCACTTCTATCACGAAATCTACCACCTCCTGAAAGGATTTTGCTGCAGCAGCTACCTGTAAGGCTGAAATCCGCAAGTCTGACCTCAACCCTTTCACGAAACTGCGAATCCGCTCTTGTGGACTAAAGCAAAGCTGGGTGGCATACCTAGATAATGCACGAAACTTAGCCTCATACGCAGTAACCGACATCCTGCCTTGCTCTAGGCTCGGGAACTCATCTCTCCTCCTATCCCTCAAAGTCCGGGGTATATACTTCTCCATAAACAAGCTAGAGAATCATGCCCAAGTCATAGGTGGTGACTGTGCTGGTTGACACTCGACATATGACCGCCACCACATTTTGGCGTTCCACTGAAACTGATAGGTCACAAACTCAACGCCAAATCGTTCCACTATGCCCATCTTATGTAGCAACTCATGACAATCAACCAGAAAGTCATAGGCATCCTCAGATTCAGCACCCTTGAAAACTGGAGGTTTCAACTTCAAGAACTTACTGAAAAGTTCATGCTGATCACTTGTCATTATAGGCCCTGTGGTCAACCAAGGAAACGTGCCTATCTCCAATGAGGCATCCATGCGGGGAGCCACAACAGCTGCATGTTGTACTCCCGGAACCTGAGGTGCTATTGCAGAAAACACTGGAGGTGTCTGGCCCTGATCAGATAACCCGCTAAGATAAGCAAGAACCTGATTAATCATCTCTGGGGTAGGTTGGGGTGGTAATTCCTCATTCTGCACTTGCTCATTCTCCCCTTCCTCCCCCTCTCTTACTACTTCCTCAGTCGGTGGAGGAGTCACCGCCCTAGTACTAGATGGGCCAGGTGCTTGTCCTCTTCCTCTAGAGAACGTCCTCCCGCGACCTCTACCACGGCCTCTTGCCACTGCTCCTCTTCGAGCTACAGTCTCAGTGGCTGGCTCAAACGCCTCTTGTCTTGCCTGTGCGGGTGTTGGCGCGGTTGTTGCTCTAGTTCTAACCATCTGCGAAATAGAGTGAAGATGGTCAGATACCAATTTGTATCACCTAGATACCAATTGGATCCAAGTAATAGCACGAAAGAAGGAAAGAATGGAATTTTCCTAAAGTCTTATAGCCTCTCAAAGAAAAGTAAAGGTGTCCCCCTACCGTTCCTCAAGACTCTACTAGACTTGTTCTTGTGTGATGAGACCAACGAACCTAATGCTCTGATACCAAGTTTTTCACGACCCAAAACGAGCCGTGAGTGGCACCCACACTTATCCTCCTATGTGAGCTAACCAACCAATCTAACCCCAACATTTTTGCCAT